AAAATGGTCTCCCCCCAGGTATAGCTTGATAACCATTGTTCTAAAGTCTCTAACGCTAATAACTATTTCCAAATATTTAAATGTAGTTTTGGCAAGACAATTACCAAATCAAGTTTTGAAGTCTTCCACTAACTACTTTTTTCAGAATTATGAATATATAATGGCCATAATGCATACTCAGAAAACACAGTCCAGACTCTTGGTTTGCAAGCTCCTCTGGAACTTCTCAGGTACAATCTGAAACTGGCGGCAGTGCTCAGAGGGCAGCAAACAATGGAAGAAAGAGACCGGCCACTCCAGGTGGGTAGGTGACAGGTTTAAGGCGTAAAAGGAGCTTATACACAAGACTTGTCTTAGGCAGCAGGGAAAGGAGTAGATCTCTGTACCTGCTTGCCAAATCTTAACAGTTTCTATAGACTTAACTGGGTTCAGTCATGTATACCATGCAGGTAGTCTCAAAACCACATCACTATATCAAGGTTGGGTCCTTGCAACAGCCTCTGGGAGTGGGGAAAGCAAGGGAAGCTCACATTCCAAGGACAGGGGAGGAAGTGAGAAGCCTCCAGTTGCCCAGGTGCAGCTAATGGATCAACCAATGATCCCATCTTCTCTTCCCTGTGATCTTCCCCAACAGAAGCAACCTTCGATCTAGATGGAAGCAACCATTATTGTCCTCCATTGGTATTCATTTGCTTAACCTACCTTGAAATGCTCCGAAACTCAAATTGTCTTAAACCGTTAAAAAGAAATGAATGCCCTATTTTGGCAATTTGCATATACAAAAAATCTAAGAAAATGGAAGTCATTTCAGAAAAAAAATAAATTATTTACATATTCTTGAGTGAAATGACAGGTCTCTGCTTTCATTAATAATGGAGAGGCTACTTTACTGTTTCACAATCTTATAACAAAATTAAATAATAGATCAAGAAATCCCTGTAGGAAGAGATACAGAAACAGACCAATATTGGGAAGTTACTTATGGTGAGCTGGTCGATCCAATGTAGTACATGTATGAAGTGTAGTCACATAATTTTACAAATGAGTATCCAGTGCAGAGTATTCATTCAGTGAGTGTGTAAAATGCTGACCAAGGCTAGGACCTTTTTTTCTTGTCTTCTTTTTTCATAACCTTAACTCGGTAGCTAAAGTTAATTGATGAATAAGCAAAACTGAATAAAACAAGGAATTCAGAGGTTTTTATTGTCATCTGCATTAATACTCCTTTGAACTACAGCCTGTTGTCTGCTATCATTGTTTCTTAAGAGAAAAGATAGTGTCGTGAATTGGTAAGCACATAGAACCATGTAAAAAGGACATGAGTTCTATTTCAAGCCCATGAACTTGAGCAAGCCATGCTACTCCTTTAACTTCTTTTTTCCCCCTATTTATTAAATGATCAGATTGAAGAAGATATCCCCTAAGGTCCATTCTGGAGCTAAGTCACCTGAAAATTTAAGTTAAAAAAGTTTTCTAGAAGTTCTTTTAGATTGCAATTCTCACATGAGAATTTTTTTCTGAAAAGTTAAAAGGAGAGTGCTCTTTGGTTCGTAGTGCCGAAGCATCTTTTGAAAGTGGCCATCAATTTACATAAACCTGATACCTAGATAACATTAAAAGTAAAAATATGAATGTATAATTGTATAAAAATAAATGTATAGGGGCGCCTGGGTGGCTCAGTGGTTAAGCCTCTGCCTTCGGCTCAGGTCATGATCTCAGGGTCCTGAGATCAAGTCCCATGTCGGGCTCTCTGCTCAGTGGCGAACCTGCTTCCTCCTCTCTCTGTCTCTCTCTCTCTCTGCCTACTTGTGATCTCTGTCAAATAAATAAATAAAATCTTCTTAAAGAAACATAAATGTATATATTCTTTTAAAGTTCATTCTGTGTCATGTCAACACATATTCAAGACTAGTACCGCATTTCAAAGGACAGAATTACTCAATAAATAACATTTCCCAATGCTATACATTTTCTGTGAATATAAATTAAGGATTCACACCATCCAGTACTATCATGTGTCTGCGAATACTGATTAAGGAGTTGGCCTTGCTGTTTGAATTTGAATTCAGAAAACAGCTTACTGGCCATTCCCTTATGTTCTAAGTCCTGTGTGTTGATCGCGCATCATTTTGAGAAGCTGCAATGAATTCTACACTTGGAGAATTTGGAAACAGATTTGAATGAGGATAAACTAATTCTTCCCTACCTAGATAAAATGACAAGATCTGTACAGTATGTTGGGATAGTGGGTTGGCTGGTTGTGGTTAGTTAGCCTGATCGAGGACAAAGAGGTGTAGAATGCAGGACAAATTCCTGCCATTCAGAGGACTGCGGCTCCTCTCTGAGAAGTTCAGGGTTAATGCAAGAACTCCTAATCTGTGGGACGTGTATCTCTCATGGAACTTAAGTAGATCTAGGTGTGTAGGATCCAGAAATTGCATCATAAGAAGATGATTCTTTTCCTAATTCTGTCTCAATTCTGATTCTTCCCAGAAAAGGAAAAAAAATAAACAAAAAATCCCTCCATCTGGTGCTAGCGAGTTTTTCACACCTTTCTTAATTACGATTCTCGTTTGTAACTGAGAAATTTCAGCCACAAGAGTCAATGCCTTTTGCAAACAAACAGTACCTAGCTATAATTTAATAATACTGATTTGTTGTTTCCTGTTCTAACAATAACCTATCTAAGCCAAGTAATGCCAGCTATTTAGTTTGGTAGCAACATAGAGTTACTTTTTAAGCGAACTTAGTTAAGGCCAAAAGTATGTTGATTAAAAGGAAGCTTTTCAGCAAATAAAAAGTTGTGTGTGGCTGGCAAAAATTTCTCAGGTGATATGCAGGTGACTGAAGCTTGGGAAACATTGGGCTAGTGAAAAACACACTGAACTTGAAGATAGGAAACTTGGTCACCAAGTCTATTTCCAGTCCTGTCATTAATTATCAGATTGTCCTTAGGCAAGATGATGCATCTTTATGACTCCATGTCCTCATTATCCAATGATTATATTGTTATTTGTCAAGCTACCTTTGGAGTGACATAAAAATTAAAATTAAATGATAGGTAGTGAAATTGTATGAAAGTTGTATAGGGGTACCTCAGTGGCATAGTGCATTAAATGTCTGACTCTTGGTTTTGGCTCAAGTCCTGGTCTCAGGGCCCTGAGATCGAGCCCCACTTTTGGCTCGCGCTCAGCATGGAGTGTGCCTCAAATTCTCTCTCTCTCTCCCCTGGCCCCTCCCACTCATGCTCTCTCTTTCTTTCCCTAAAATTAATAGAAAATTTTTTAACAGTTGTATGTATATAAGATTCTTTATTATGTATCTGAAACACAACTTTTTCTTCCCATTATCTCAATTCAAAAAAACAAAAACATGATCATGACCATTTAGGAAAGGATAATAGATAATATTATCTGTTTTCACTCTAGGATCATGACATTTTTTTAGTAGTGTGCATGTGCATGTGTGTGTGTGTGTTGAGAGAAAGGGGGGAGAGAGACTGACTACGGTTATACAGTTTCTACATTTACACTATTCCTAAATACTAAAACTGTGTTGTCTTTTTCTGATTGATTATATGTTTATTTTTACCATTCTTCCATGGTGATAAAAAAAGCTTTAAAAACTAAATTGTTAAAAAATTTCACCTAATAATACATCTTATTAATCTCTAAGCTTAATAAAAACATTATGACCTATTTGAATATTTAGAACTGTTAAAAATAATAGCTTCAGGCCAAAATTGTCTTTTGTCTTGAAATAATATTTGGAATCTTGCTTGTATTTTTTTCACTGTGCCTAAAACCTCGAATTTTCTACAAAATATGATATCTCTTTACAAAAGATGTTTCACTGTTACATAATGTCATTTCCTATAGATTTCATAATTTCTTTTTCCAATCTAATCTTGCTTATCCTTGAAGCTAAGTTTGTTGTTTTTGTTAAAATATAAAGGTGCAGTTAGATATATGATATATTTTGATCTTAATGGCTAACGTGTCAGGTTTGTGGCTGTTTTATCTTGATACATATATACAACAAAGTCCCAATACTAATTCATTGTGTGATAGAGAGGATATTCGTGGACATAGAGATCATGCTAACAATTGTTTGGGTTCCCATTCTATTAAGGAAATGTACTTAGCACTATTGCTTTTGGATTAGAAAATGATAGACATCATAATTTCATTCAAACATTAACATGTATTGTGTGGGAGAGCAATTCCCAAACTTGTGCAGTCATCAGAGTCACCTGGAGGGCTTGTCAAAACACAGATTGCTTGTTCCATCCTCAGTTTCTGATTCTGTGCGTCTGGGGTAAGGCCTCAGAATTTGCATTTTTAGCAAGTCCCACGGTGATGATGAGGCTGATGTGGTTCCCCTCGACCCCAGCCTTTTTGTCTAATGAAAGGCAGTAGAGCAGGACAGTGAAGCCTATGGACTTAGGTGATATCCCACAGACTTTGGTGATAGCCCCAGAGTTGAGCCCTGGCTTTGATACTTATGAACTCTGTAGCATGGACAAGTTAAGGATCAATTTTGTCTTCTGTAAAATGGTAACAGTTATATTTATTGGGAATATTGAATAAAATAATGCATATTGACTGTGTAGAATAATGCTTAGCCCTGTAATGAACTCCCACTAAATGCAACATTTGTAATTGGTGGTGATGGTAATTGGAGTTTTGAGAGTAGAAGCAGTAGTTAGTGGTAGTAGAAAAGAGTACACGTTTCCTTTGTTCCTTGCAATAAAAGTTTATATTTCTTTCCTAAAGAGGTGGGGCAGAAAGCTTGCTTTTCATTTATGGCATTGTTTCTACGAGAAACACTCCAGCAAGAAGGGAATTCATTGAAAAGAAGTAGTGCCCTTCGTAAAAGAATGTTCAAGAGTGTATTGGAGATGGGAATCTATGTTGCAGTGCAAGCACAGTTTTATCCACTCGTGCAGCAGGTCATTCAGTATTCAGAACCTAATGTATTTGTTTCTTTCCTTCTCTCAGCAACAAGAGCAAGACCCAACAAACCTATACATCTCAAATCTCCCCATTTCCATGGATGAGCAGGAACTTGAGAATATGCTGAAACCCTTCGGACACGTCATTTCTACAAGAATACTAAGAGATGCTAATGGAGTCAGCAGAGGTGTTGGCTTTGCCAGGTAAAACACTTGCTACATGCACGTATTACTTTTCCTTCCTCCTTATTCTCTTTTAATTCCATTCCTTTCTAGAACCAGGGCCCAAAGCAATGGGACGGTTCGCCCTCTCCCTGCCAAAAAGAAGCTTTTCAAATCAACTCTGTATCTTTGTCTCAATCAAAGAATTCCAATGTAATTATAAATATGTTGTGCTTGCTAAAATCTGTACATAGAATGGTTATAGATGTCTCGGGTCATAATGGTATGCATGCCCAGTTCCCAATTTTAGCACTATTGCTTTGTAGATTAGCAAAATCAGATGCTGTCAATTTCTGCTATTGGTTATAAATGCCCAGTACCCCAGCGCTAAAGAGCCCATGCGGTGAACAAAGCATCCAAATGTTTTCGCAGTGATTTCCAAACAATGAGACGATAGAGTTTCTCAGTCAAGAAAAGGAAGAGAAGAAAGATTTCGAGAAACAGGAATTACTGGGAAGTCCAAAGGAACCCAGAAATATAAGGTGGGGGGGAGGTTAGGAGGGCACTTGCATTTAAGAGGCTCTGGCTGTGTGGTTTTGATATTTTACGCAGAACAGAAAAAAGCAAATTGCGCTTTTTTCATTGTCAGGAAAGGAAAAGTAGTTTTCATCTTAACTTTAAGGGATGTTTACAAAAGAAGATCTCAGCCAGAAACAGAGTTAAAATGGTGGTACCTGCTGTGCTTTCATGAAAAACAAAGCAAAAGGAACCACAGAGAAAAAGAAACTGCTGAACAACAAAGAATGAGAGTAAAAGCCGTGTCTCCATGGCTTGGTGTGTTTATGTGTCTCCAGCTGACTTAACATGGATGAGTGAGTGAATGGATGCTCGTGTCTTTGGGAAGTCAGCCCTTTGCAGACAGGTGTGTCCATCTATAAAAATCCTATCATTACCTGGAAACCATTCCAAACCAATGTTTATTAACCCACTTTGAAAGATAACATTTTGTAGGGGCACCTGGGTGGCTCATTCGGCTAGGCCTCTGACTCTTGACTTTGGTCTGGGTCATGATCTCAGGGTCTTGAGACCGAGCCTCATGTCGGGCTGGAGCCTGCTTGGGATTCTCCCTCTCCCTCTGCCCCTCCTGGGCTCAGTTTCGCTCTATCTTTCTAAATCAATCAGTCAGTCAATACTGATATCTACCTTAACTTCCTATAACTCATGGACCATGTCTTAAAATTCAGATTCCCCCCATTTCCTGGTAGACATATACAAGATGCATGCTGATTTAAAGAGAAATAAGCAGAATGAAGAAACTCTCCTGAACTTGAATGTATGCTTGAGGCATTCACTTTTTCAGATCACTGGTTACTGCTCATTTACATGGTCAAGACAGAGCTAATCACATCAGCCAGGGCTCTGAATTTTGCCAATGTCATCATTGTTGGATAGTATCTAAGGCTGCTGTGGGAGGGCTGGTCAGTGTGGGAGTTCACTGAAATGAACAACACTCATCCTTCTGGTCCTTCTCTCACTTCTTGACCCCCACCCCAAAACTCTTTATAACAAATTAGTCTCTCCTTCATTTGTACTCCCGCTGAGAAATGAACATATTTCAACTTTATCAAGACAAAACATTTTCTAAGATCTATGGTGATCTTTCTTTCTTTTCTTTTTTAGGCAAAGGGTTTTTGATACAGATACGGTAGTTTGCTAGGGCTGCTGTAACAGAATACAACAGACTGGGTGGGTTAAATGACAAAAATTTATTTTCTCAGAGTTCTAGAAGCTGGAAGTCCAAGATGATGGTGTCAGTAGGTTTGGTTTCCTCTGAGGCTTCTCACCTTGTCTTGTAGATGACCTTATTTTCCTTGTATCTTGGTTATAAATGCCCAGTACCCCAGCGCTTCCCTCTCTGTCTCTGTCTTACTCTCTTCTTTCTAAAAGGCTATCAGTCTTGGGGCACCTGGCTCGCTCAGTCAGAAGAGTATGTGACTCTTGATCTCAGGGTCATGAGTTCGAGCCCTATATTAACTATAGAGATTATTTAAATAAATAAACTTAAATTAAAAAAAGAATTGGAGGACATCAGGGGCACCGGGGTTACTCAGTCAGTTAAGCATCTGCCTTCAGCTCAGGTCATGATCCCAGGGTCCTGGAATTGATTCTCCATGTTGTCAGGCTCCCTGCTCAGTGGGGAGTTTTCTTCACCCTCTCCCTCTGCCTCACCCCACCGTCCTGTTCTCTCTCCCACACATGCTCCAGCTCTCTCAAAGAAATAAATAAATAATCTTTAAAAAAAAATTTAAAGGACATCAGTCAGATTGGCTGAGGACCCACCCATATGAGGCCCTATCTCCATATACAGTCACATTATGAAGTCCTGGGGGCTAGGACTTCAGCATAGGAATTTGTTGTGGTAGAGGCACAATTCAGCTTATGACACAGAATTTGGGCTGTTCAGTTCCCTTAATTCTGTCTTCTCTATACACTTTCAGTTTGCTTAAAATGAAGACTATTCTTCTTGGTGCAGACCCAAGTAATGCACATTGTGAGAGACAACACTATAATCATAGTATATGATGTTATGAAAGAGTAAATCCTATAGTGCTTTTTTATCTTTAAGAACTGAGGAAGAGTGGGGATTTTAAATTATTATTTTATGTCTGCTCTGAATGCAGCCTCCCTCTTTTAGTGCATTTTGCATATGGAAACTATCAATGATTCTTTAAAGTACAAATCGGGGTCACCTGAGTGGTTCAGTTAGTTAAGCATCTGCCTTAGGTTCAGGTCATGATCCCAGGGTCCTGGGATTGAGCCCCACATCGGGCTCCCTGCTCAGATGGGAGTCTCCTTCTCCCTCTCTTTCTGCCCCTCCCCCTGCTCGTGCTCTCTCTCACTATCTCTGTTTCCCTTAAATAAATAGTCTTTAAAAAAATAAAAGATTAAAAAAAATACAAATCCGATCATGTCAGGGGCCTGTTTATATCTCTCAATATGGTCCAAATGATTGGATTTACCAACCTTGCCAACATTATCCCTGACATCATCATCCCTGACACCATTCACTTTCTGGGCCTTCTGTCTTCCTATCTCTTACCCTGGGCACAAGAAGCCCTTCCTGACTGTTAGACTTTTCATGACTCTTACTCTGGCTTCTGCTTATTTATCCTTCAGGTATTGGCTTAAATGTCTTTTCTTCAAAAACCCTTTTGTGACCTCTATCTCCAGCCTTCAAAGTTAGATGGTCTCGTTACAGCTCCTGTCAAAGTTTTTTTGGTTTATTGTTTGTTTGTTTTTCCCCAAATAAGATCTATCAAAATCATAATGAATTCACTATTTAATGTGTGTCTTCACCCACTGGATTGTACATTTCCTTACGTGGTATTTCCTTTTCACTGTTGAGAGGATGGTTGGGTGGATGGTAGTTAGCATAATTACTTTTTGATGAAGTTCCTGAATGACTAAGCCCCAAGGAATGGCCTTTTAAAACTCTTAGCTTAGAATAGGAATTATCAGTCACATTCCAATACTGAAACTTCGGTCTCCATACTCTAAATCATGTTATTTTCCAATTTCAGAAAGTAGCATGTGGATTGAAAAGGAAAACATAGGTTCAAGTCAATTTCTTAGGCCTAAGAAATCAAAAGAAAACATGAATCTGCCTCTTTTGTAAGAAACTAAGAAACTGATGAAGAACCAGTATTTCATTTTCCTTGTTTCTTAGACCTGAAATTCCAAGGAGCAGGATACCACCTGATTTACCTAACTTGATGATGTGAAAAAATAATTTTAGCTCTATCATACGTCATTGGGTCTACCCAAATTCCTCTCTCCTTGCACTTGGACATTTGCTCTGCTTTTCTCAAAGCGCCGTGGCTGCATCTTAACAAACTCAGTCTTTCACAAATTCACTTTTATACAGTTTTCCTTTTTTATAAATACCACCCTTTTCCCGTTGTTCAGCCTTTCTCATTTGGGGCTCTCCCTCTAAACCACAGAATGGAGATGACTTGAGGGACAGTCTTCCCACTTCTTCCCAGGACAGCGTGTAGCTAGTGAGAGAAGTTAATGGATTACATACAATGGTTGCCTTGGGACAGGGGTTCTCAAAGTGTAGTTTCCAGGACAGAAACCTCAGCATTGCTTGGGAAAGTGTTGGAAATGCCATTTTGGAGTCCTGTCCCAACTGAGGCAGCAATGGTGGGGGGTGGGTGGGGTACAGGGATCTGTACTTTATCAAACACTCTAGGTGACTCTCATGCTTCCTAAATCTTGAGAAGCTTTGCCTTAGGGCATTAGGGCTTAATTCTCAAATCGTCTGGAAGGCTTGTAAAATTTCTGATTGTTGGCCTCCATTCTTAGAAATTTTTCCTGATGGAGCTGATTCTTGTTGACACCTCGATCACACTCTTCCACTTTGTCAAATGTACTGGTCATAAATACATCTCCTGTCCTAGTCTTCAAGTGTAGGGACTGTGTCTTGTTCTTCTTCATGTCTATCCCAGCATCTAGAATATCATCTGACATATTACTGATCTTCAGTAAATTTTTGATGATGAACAAATGAAATCACTTCGAGTGTTTTGTTTTTGTTTGTTTTTTACTATAACTGGGCAGGGTGGTAGCATTTGATGATAAAGAGAAGCTAGTTCTGGGGCACCTGGGTGGCTCAGTGGGTTAAAGCCTCTGCCTTCGGCTCAGGTCATGATCCTAGGGTCCTGGGATCGAGCCCCATATCGGGCTTTCTGCTCAGCAGGGAGCCTGCTTCCTCCTCTCTCTCTCTGCCTGCCTCTCTGCCTACTTGTGATCTCTGTCTGTCAAATAAATAAATAAACAAAATCTTTAAAAAAAACAAAAAAGATAAGCTAGTTCTGAGATGGGTGTCCTGGGGTTTTAGAGAAAAGTACAGTCACATCAGTTCAACTATTATTGATTTACAAATTATTTCTTCATCAAAAAGTTCACAGTGCCACAGGTGTTATTAAAACTAAATGCTTATTTGATTAGGAGCACAGTTGGCCTGTAATTGTGCCTGGTAA